AGAAGTTGCGAGTCAATCCCTATAGGTAAGCCACCACCTATAAATATTTTATACCAGGATCCGAAAGATACTATTAAATTAATTTCAGAAAAAACAAAAAAAATCGATTTTCATATTAAACGTATTAATTCTGCGAAGCATGTAATCAAAGTAGGTTCAATAGCTGACTTTGGTGAAATAAGGGATATTCTCAAGGAGGCCAAGACAAATTTCTACACGTTTACGCCAAAAGAATTAAAAAGTCATACTTACCTTCTTAAAGGACTGACTCAATCCTTCACAGAAGTCGAGGTAGCAGATGAGTTACAGAAAAATTCTTGTGAAAATCTCCTCTTCACCAAAGTAAGTCGGTTCAAAACATCAAATTCAATCAAAGAGAACAAAATATTACCAATCTTTTTAATTCAAATAGATCCGAAAAGTGATTTAAAAAAACTCTCTGAAATTAGGTACGTAGGCCACCTTGCGGTGACATGGGAAAAATTAATAAGGAAAGGCGATGTACAATGTAAGAGGTGTCAAAGATATGGCCATGTTGCGAGCAATTGCAATATGGGTTACAGATGCGTTAAATGCAAAGAACTTCATAAGCCAGGAGAGTGTCAGATATCGCTAGGTATAGATAACAATTCAAATAAAATACCCTTTTGTGTAAATTGTAAAACCGAAGGCCACCCGGCGTCTTATAGGAGATGTTCTAAATTTAAAGAATATAAAATGAACCTGAAAGCACAAAATGAACGCGCTAAATCAGAAGTTGCTAGAGTGATAAATAATCCTGCCTTCGTCAAAGATGGAATATCGTTTGCTAATACACTTAAAACACCAAAACAAGACACGCTTCTAAACACAACTAAAAATCGTGCTAGCCTCTTAAAAGCGCAGACCACCAATAGCCCTCAACATGTAGCATTTAGCCAAAGCACGACTTATAACTTCCACAGTCGAATAGAGAAATTAGAGAAAAACTTGGAATTACTGTTTGAGAAAATAGAATCCCTTAACATACATATGAATCATTTGGCTAACATGCTATTAAGCACCCAGCATATTCATTAACGTACAAGCTAAAAT